ATGTTTTATAGGAATGTATATGTATAGCCTATATCAGATTGTGTGCCGTCTTGAGGAGGATGGTAGGGAGGGAGGGGGAGAAAAATTTTAAACTCAAAAGCATGTGGAAGTGATTGTTGATAAATCAAAATGAATTAATTTTTTTTTTAAAAAAGTAGGTTAAGTTGGAGATATCTGATGAGAGAAGGGTTTGGTGTGGCATTGGGAGCTTAAGGAGAGAAGAGGTTTGCAGGAGTCAAGATGGTGGAGTAAGAAGTCACTCTTACCCTCCCTTATTAACCTCTGAAAGCTCAGAAAATATCACCCCAGGAAAAACCCAGGAACAGCTGAACCAGAAGAATGATGGGGTGCAGCAGTCTAGTAGCCCAGGTAGCTTACAGATTAATGGGAAAGGCCCCTCTTGCCCTGGAGGAAGGGGAGCAGTAAAGAACCGGAGGTGTTCCAGCAAGCTAGTGGAAAGCCCCACCTCAGCATACCTGGAGGAGATCCTGAAACCCAGGTGGTGGAGCAGGCAAACACCAACACCTGGACCCCCGAGTGCCTCAGTGAGGGCAGGGGAACCAGTGGAAACCAGCTTGGAAAACCACCAGGTGCCTTGGCATTCTACAGCAACTGGCTCTCCCAGTGCCTCAGCAAAACTAAGGGAAGCAATACTCCTAGGGGCCCCAGGTGGATAAGCATCCTGCAAAATCCATCTGAAAGGAGCTAAAGAAAGTGAAAGGAAGGAAAGGCTTGGGTGAGCAGGAAATCTACAGGAGAGAAGAGGTTTGCAACAAATCTAGAGTGTCAATTAGGGAAGAATTAAAATTTTGTCATATAGTAATGAGGACCTAGTTGAGAAAAAAAAGCTTGAATTTGTACTGATGCAGTTGGCATGGTGGTCTGATTTCCTTTAAAGATATTCAGTATCATGGGAAATGGGAGATGGTGAAGATGGTCCACATTTGAAGACTGTCAAGGTTTGAACAGTGGGAAGAAAAGGGGCAGGAGGGTCAAGGTTGGAGAACAGTGTACAGTAGAATTGGCTTTCTGTAGGATTAAGACTAAAGAAAAAGAAGTGAGGTTAGAGCAGTGGTGAAAGATGGAGAATGAAGGAAAAAAGATGGAGGTTCTAATGAGGACAATGTAGAGGATTAGGGAAGAATAAGAGATTATGATAAGAGAAGGGAACTTCACAGTTCAAGACAGTGGAGGTGGCACAGTTATGGGTGACGGAGAGACCTAAGATGTCACCATCCCTGTATGTGGCCGAAGTAAAGATATGGCTCATAGAAGTTGAGAAGGTTAATGAACTGGAAGGTTAGAATGTTTTCGGTTTTGGTTTTGTTGTTGTTGTTGTTGTTGTAGTTTTTAATATTTTTATTAATTTATTTTGATTTATCAACAATTACTTCCATGAGCTTTTGAGTTTTAAATCCCCCCCAAGACAGTGTGCGATCTGATATAGGCTATACATATATATTCCTATTAAACACATTTTCATATTAGTCATGTTGTAAGGAAGAATTAGAACCAATAGGAGGAACCACCAGAAAGAGGAAACAAAACAACACAAAAGAAAAAAATTAGCGAATAGTATGCTTTGATCTGCATTCAAACTCCATAGTTCTTTCTCTGGATGTGGATAGTATTTTCCATCATGAGACCTTTGGAGATGTCTTAGATTCTTTCATTGCTGAGAAGGGCTAAGTCTATTAACATTAGTCACTGAACAAGGTGGCTATTACTGTGGGATGTAAGTATGTTTACTTTATCAGGGCAAGGGTTGGGGCTGAGAGGAAGACATTTACCAGTACTAGCCTCCTTGCAAATGGAGAGTAAGTAACCTGGAGGCCTCTAGATCATTGAAATACAAATCTGAACTCAATGCAAGAGGCCAACAGAGTGACCCTCAAAAAGAAAAGGGGGAGGTTTTATGATTGTAGTATGAGAAAGTCCTGGAAATGACAGTAGAGAACAAGGAGTATGCTGCCTCCTTCTGGTCCAGTGTACTTTGGCATGCATTTTGGAATGTATTTTGGAAGCTAAGAACGCAGTATCTTCTGGAAGGAACTAAGTTTCTATGAACACAAAAATATAGAATGTTAAAGAAAATCTGGGATGAAAGGAAGTTTGTCAGTTTGAGGAGTTCCAGGGAGGGGAAAATGGAAAGAAAGCAAAAGGAAAAGGACTGGGAAAGGATAGAGTTGAGCCTAAAGGATTAGAGAGAGGTAATAGGGGAGGGGAGTTTTTATTTCAAGAAATGAGAACTCTGAATCACAGTGCTCAGGGGAGAAAAAAGGGCAGATTTGATAGCCATAGGACTGGGGAATTACCAGTTGGTTGGTGCCCCCAACCTCCATGGTCCATAATAGTGCAAGTAATGATGTTGTTGTGTGTATTCAATCTCCAAACATTAGGCATCGGAGTAGGGAGGGGAGGCAGGAGGTCATGAGAAGTCTTGAGTCAATAAATAACGCCTACTGCAGAAACGGCATAACCAGGGCCTCAGACATCACACTTGATACAGAGCTGTGTGAGTGTGTGTGTGTGTGTGTGTGTGTGTGTGTGTGTGTGTGCATGCTCCACCTATGAGGATATCTTCTAGGTGTGGCTGCTATCCCACCAACTTGGGATGAAGCTACACAGCTGAAGCCATGTGCGAATTCTTTTTTTTCTTTCCTAATAAATATTTTGTGCCTTTTTTTTTTTTTTGCTTTTTTAGTGAGTCAATCAGGGTTAAGTGACTTGCCCAGGGTCACACAGCTAGTAAGTGTCATGTGTCTGAGACTGGATTTGAACTCACATCCTTCTGACTCCAAAGCCATGTGTAAATTCTGTCCAGTCCTTGCAGTTCCAGTTTCCAGGCATGGATTGCCCCAGGCCTCTTTTGCCATCTTCTGGTATATTTGAGAATTAAGGCCTTTTTCCAAAATCCCAAGAAGCAATAGCTGGCTATAGAAAACTCTGTGCAGAGGGTTGATTCCTTTAGCTCTATGGATGTGCAGCTAAGGGCAATCTCAAGACAACACTCTGAGGCTGTGAGAAAGATGAGAATCAAGCATTTTTCTGCTTCTGTCTAGTCACTGTCTCTTGACCCTTGAGCTATAGTTTCTGAACAGAAAAAACTGGTAAGAGCCATAATACCCAACTAGGGGAAATAGTGTTTCTCCTGAACATAAGTTAATGCCAGAAGCCTCCATCCTTGAGTTATTGCTTTCTTCACAGACCTTCATCCCAACATTCAGTGCCTATACTGGAAGGATCAACTGTAACCCAAAGACAAGAGACCTGGTGGATCATAGCCCCCATTGGAAGTGTTATGTTCCTGTACCTTTTCCTGGAGACCCCCCTTCTACCCCCCAAATATCCTTCTAGTAATTTAGTTTCATGTAAGTAAGTTTGGCACATGGGTTGTCTTTCATTTTTCTGATTTACCACAAAATCACCAACTTAGAAGACATTTGCTTTTGTATAATGGGCAAAACAAATAAGATCCTCTTACTACCCCAATTCCTTAATTCACTAATGTGATATGAAAACACAAAGTAAAAATAATAAAGTGAGGTGGCCATTTCTCTGAAAGTTACTGTGTTCTTAAACCATAAAGAGAAAAATAAATGGTGAAAATTTGAATACAGCCAGGAACAAAAGCCCATAAGCCTCAAAATTCAAGAATGTTTCATTTGAATTTATATTGATTACAATAAAAATGCCATAAAAGCAGAAGTAAATTATCTCATTGGCAGACTGATTCAGGGAGATTTTGTTCTTAATCATGTTGCTAAAATAGGAAATGTCCATTAGTTTAAGCTAATTTTCAATATCTCTAAAAACATTCATATGCTGCCCTTAGGCCAATCCCAGCCTTATCATTCCATTCCAATCGAAATTCTATTCTCTTGTCCTCCATTCTTGTTAGAAATATTCCTGTCCCAGAAAAGTTCCAAAATAATGTCTCTCCATATTAAAAACTCACATATCAAGTACAGTCCTATTTCCTAATGGCAGGAAAACAAAGATAACAAGTGATTCGTGAAATAGAGTCTACTAGTGGTAAAAAGACAGTAGGAAGATGTGAAAGAAACAAATGTCTCAGTCCTCCAATTTATCCTCAAATAGGGAATGTGAGAAACATTACACTTTAGGAGGCTTGCTGATTTTTCCTCAGTTCTTTCTGTTACTTTTCCTCAATACTACTAAAGTTAGGGGTTTAAGAGATGCCATTTTAACTAGCCTATTTTTTCAAAAATGAATTTTATTGATGTCTTTCAATTTTTCACATCACCAGAATTTTGTTTTGTTAGGCAATGGGGTTAAGTGATTTGCCCAGGGTCACACACCTAGTAAGTGTTATGTGTCTGAAGCCACATGAAGTCCTCCTGACTCCAGGACCAGTGCTCTATCCACTGTGCCACCTAGGTGCCCCCTATCATCACCAGAATTTCTTCCAGTGTTTTTCTCATCCAAGAGAGCCATTCCATATTACAAATTATATTTTTAAAGGAAAAGAAAAAAGAAAAAAAGGAAGAAGAAAAAAATTAGCAAAACTGATCAATACATCAAAAAAGTCTGAACATATGTGAAACATACCACACTTGTGGATATCCCACCTCTGCAAAGGAGGTGGGGGGTCTTCTCATTTCTGTTCTTTGGGCCATGTTTGTTCTTTGTAAATTTTCAAGTTTCACTTTTGATTATTTTGTGGTTATTCTTTCGGTTTAATTTGGTTACATTAATTCTGTTTAATTTCATTTGCATCATTGTAGTCATTGTGGGTGTTGTTTTCTTTCTTCTGTTTATTTCACTCTGCATCAGTTCATATAGATCTTTCCATGCTTCTCTCTCTCCATCATTTCTTCATCATTTCTTACAGCACACTAACATTCCATTACATTCATGTACCAAAATTTGTTTAGCTATTCCCCAATAAATGGACATCCACTTTGTTTCCATTTCTTTACTACCACAGAAAGTTTAGCTTATTATTATTATCACTTCTTCTCCTACTCCAGCCCCTCCTCAGCCCCCCCACCCAGATTTTTCCTTTTGTCACATTAACACACAGAACATAAGTGTCAGTAGGGAGTCAGAAGTATTATAGAGGTTTTCCAAGACAAATCTACTAAAAGGTTTTATGTTATGGGTCTGTAGAAATGTCACTGTGAGATCCTGGTCAATCCCTTTTCAGTATTGTGACCTGAATGAATTAAAAAAAGACTCTGGTTATTTTACTTTCTAGGTTGCTCTGACATAATATCCCAGGGTCACATCCCCCACCCCCACCTCATGTCACTTCAATAGATGAGAATTTTTTTTTTAATTTGGGGGCAAGGGTAAGGCAGTTCCCTACTTGTGATATCATATGTGTAATTAACTCATAGGATCATAGATCTAGAGCTGGAAAGCACTTCAGAGATCATCTAATCTAACCCATTTTACAGATGAGAAAACTGAGACCCAGAGAGGTTCTGAATTGCTCAAGGTCACAAAGGTATTGCAAGAATCACAAGGGAGGAAGATGGGCATTCCAAACATGGGAAATAGCTAAAATAAAGGCATAAAGGTAGGAAAAGGAGTGTCAGCAAGACCAGTTTGGCTATACCTTGGAGTTTGGGAAAGGGAGCAATGTGTAATAAGACTGGAAAAGTAAGATGGGGCCAGGTTGTAAAGACCTTTAAATGCCAACAGAGGAGTTTACATTTGTTACTAGAGGCAATGGGAAGCCACTGTAATTTGTTAAGTATGGGAATGACATAGTTGGGCTTGTGCTTTGGGAAAATCACTTTGATGCCTTGTGGAGGATGGGCTGGACCAAGGAGAGATTTTAGGTAGGAAGACCAACGAAGGGGCAATTACTGCAGTTGCCCAGTAAAGAGGTGATGTTGGCCTGAAGTAGGTTGATGTCTACATGAAAAGAGAGAAGAGGATTTAGAGATGACTTAGAGGTAGAAACAAGGTTTTTCAAGGACTGCATGTGTGGGGTGAGAGTGAGGAGCTGAAATTGAATTGTGTGTGTTCAAATTGAAAGGACTACGAATGGCCTCTGAATTCTAGATGTTATCCATTTAATCACAAAATGCAAGAAAGCATCTATTGGATGTCTGCTGTGGGTCAAGCCCTTTGCTGAGTATGATGGAAATAACACAAAATAAATATAAGGTGAGATTTGTATTAGGAGTAATGTTTTTTTGCGGGGGGGGGGGGGGGTTTGTGTGTGTTTAAACCAAGTTCCACCTAGATTTCCTTGCTGGCCAAGTATCTTTCTCCATGTTCCCTGAAGCATTCAACAGAACGCCGGCAGGTGATCAATAATATTTCTCAATAATTGAGCAGCAAAAGAGACCCAAGGTGTTTAAAATCTCAGATCCTGCTCTTCCATTAATAATCTGTAAGAGTTTGGACAAGTTTCCTAACTCTAGGCAATTCTAATTCATCTTTTTTCTTCTTGTGACCAAATAACTACAGAACAGAATAACAGAGCTGTGTTTTTCTGGCCTAATTCAACTGTGTTTAACAACCATTTACTGTATGCCTCTATCTGAAGGAGTGCATAATAAATTCTAATTCATTAATAAATGTCTAATTTCAGCAAGACAATAATAATAATCCTGTATTAATAATTTTATATTCATCTCTTTACACTAATTTAGTATAGATAGGACAACAGTCAAGACAAATCATGGACAACTCAAAAAGCTGCTAGAATGCATGGAAAATAAGGTCTGTAAAGTTTATAAAGCTCTTTACATATATTGCCTCATTTGATCTTCCCAACAAACTTGAGATTAAGGGAAGCACTTAATTTTACATTATATGAATTTTCACAGCTAAAGAAACTGAGGTTCACATGGTCACTTAGTTAAGTGCTTGAGTTGGGACTCAAAGCCAAGTCTGTCTTAACTTGGGTCTAGTATTCTTTCCATTATATATACCATAATGCCTCTCAAAAAAAACCCAAAAAACCCACAGTAACACTATTATACTTCCAGATTTGTTCCTCATACTTACTGACTCCGTTATGCCATGTCTAAATCTACACTCCCCTCCAGGGACCTAAGCCTCTAACTCCAAATCCATCTCACTGCCATTCAAAGGCATACTTTTCTGCCCCTGAGGAAAAATTCTCAAACTTTAAATTGCTTGAATTCAATTATGATCAGACTGTTGTTTGGTCCTTTTTTCAGTTATGTCTGACTATTTGTGACCTCCATTTGAGATTTTCTTGGCAAAGGTACTGGAGTGGCTTGCATTCATTTCTTTCCCCAGCTCATTTTACAGATGAGGAAACTGAGGCAAACAGGGTTAAGTGACTTGCCCAGAATCACACAGCTTCTATGTGTTTGAGGCCGGATTTGAACTCAGAAGATGAGTCTTCCAGACTTCAGGCCTAGCCCTCTATCCCCAGCACCACCTAGCTGCCGGTAGATCGGACTAGATAATCCTTAAAGTCCCTTCCAATTCTGAGATTCTATGTTTCCCTCAGCACCACAATCACTACCTGACCCCTACTTTTAATTTCTCCTACAAACCCTCCACCTCTTTCCCTACTCCAGTTCCTCCACTCAAGTGGTCAGACCATATCACACCAATCAATCAAGGCACTCTTCTTCTCAAAAACTAACGGCAGGGGCAGCTAGGGGGCGCAGTGGATAGAGCTCCGGCCTTGGAGTCAGGAGGACCTGAGTTCAAATCCGGCCTCAGACACATAACACTTACTAGCTGTGTGACCCTGGACAAGTCACTTAGCCCCATTGCCTAGCCAAAAAAAAAAAAACAAAAAAAACTAACAGCTCCTTGATGTGCATTGAATAAACACCGTGTTCCTTAGTTGGACAGTCAAAGATCTCTTATAACCTGGCCCAAACTACCCTTTTCTGCCAATATCCCACTAGTTCCTTCTAAGAACTCTATGTTTTAGATACTCATTCCCTGCACACTCCCTATCAGTTCTAGCTTCTGCACCTCTGTTCATGCCAGTCTCTCATTCTATAAAACATATACCCCCTTCCCAATCTTTCTTTACAGAAATTCTGTCCATCCTTCAAGATACAGCTCAAATGCTATTAACTCTTCTGTATCCTTCATATTCTATTCATGTGTTGTATTGTGGTAATTTTGTCTTCTTTTCTATTGTAAGCTCCTCAGGGACAAAAATAGTGTCTCATCCATTGTTTTTTCTCTCATATACCTTATGATGGTGCTTGGCAAATAATATTCTCTCAAACAATTATTTAATGAATAATAAATCAATGAATTTATAAAAGGGCAGAGGAACATACAGACCTAGACAAGGTGACAGAGACTAAAAGAAGCTATGACAGTCAAGCCATCATGGAATGATTAATTATCCAATACTTTCGTACCTATAGTCTTGATATGCAAGAATTACTCATTCATCACAAGTTGTCCTATGTCAGCTGTTTTAGTCACCTGGATGTGGGATGCTTTGCACCCTGAATACAAGGTGTTCTTCCAAACACCTAGTTCTTAGGATCATAAATCAATAAATGGATGTCCCAGATAGCACTACATTAGTTTAAATATCAATAAGAATAATGAAGGTAACAGTATAACACTACACTGGCAAAAAATGTAAGTTCCTGTTTAAAATCCTGAGGGAATAAATTAAGGAACATTCTCCCTGCTGAATTTGATGAAATAAAAGGCAGTCCTCTTCCTAGAATGATTTTAATGCAGCCAATCTGAAGGAAATGTTGTTTAAGGATCCAAAGAGATCCTGTTCAACTTTGAGGGTAAGGTTCCTTGGCTGAGAGGAAAGGAAATGTCTCAGCTAAGAGTGTTCAGACAGGTCTCTTATGCAACATATGATGTTGTAATAGCCTAGGCCAAGGGTAGGGAATCTGTGGCCTTGAGACCACTTGTGGCCTCTAAGTCCTCAAGTGTGGCTCTTTGACTGAATCAGTAAAATCAGAATTTAAAATGAAGGCCTCTAACTTCCAATCCAGGGCTTTTTGCACTATACCATCACTCAAAAGGCATAGTTCTCTGCCCTTGAGAGAAAACACTCAAACTTTAAATTGCATTTTTAAAAATTCTGATGAAATTTAAATTTGGTTTAACAACTTCACACAGTTGCTTTTGGATTCTAGTCCCTTTCTTTGACTTTTCTATCAAATGTAGAAAATATAAATAGATAACTCTTGAGAAGAAATGACCTGCATTATGAAGGTCATCTAAAATGAAGTAGAAATATTAACCAATGGACATCATTTCACTGGGGAACCCAATATAAACTTTTTATAATCTAATGGAAAGTTGCAATGGGAAAAGCTGAGACTAAAATAGAGATTAAAGTTGTCAGAATGAAGGGGAGAAAGAAATGTCTGCAAGTTCCAATATCATATCAAGAATAGTACACTCTCCAGAGATCTAAGGAAAGGAAAATGGAAAATCTTCCAACATAAGCCAATTTTATTTTTATTTCATCATAATTTTGTGCAGGAAGGAAGCTTTGCATTTACCATATCAACCAGTCACCCCCCAGGACCTCCATCACTGAGTCATCAGATACACAGGGTCACCGACTTTTAGGCTTCCAATTTTTTCCACTGAAAAATACATCCCAAAGAGTGGGTCTGACTTGTATAGATGCTTCTCCGCTGGATCACAGAGGCGGTAGCTGAAGGGGACAAAGAAATATCATCATGCAAATGGAGAAAAATATAATATAAAGCAAATATACTGGCCCAGGGAGTCATGCAAACAGAACCTCTCTTGGAAAGTTGATAGGAGTGAAAGTGCAGGAAAGACTTATTTCTGGCAATTCCAAGAGTATCCTGTTATTATGTATGGACTTATCAGCATTGTATCTGCATCTATGTTGAGAGGCCTCCCTGGAGGCCATAAAAAAAAATTTTAATTTACTTGTTCAAATATACTGTCTACCTACATAAATCAATTTCATAATAGTTTGAATGGAATAGAGCTGAAAAGAAGAATTACTCTAGATTCCCTTAGTTGTTCAGTAGTTATGTACAATTCTTTGTGACCCCATTTGGGGTTTTCTTGGCAAAGATACTAGAGTGGTTTGCCATTTCCTTCTCCAGGTGAGCAACTCAGGCAAACTGGGTTAAGTGACTTGACCTAGATCACACAACTAGTATCTAAGACTGGATTTGTACTCAGGTCTTCCTGACTCCAAGCCCAACACTTTATCCACTGCACCACCTACCTGCCCAGATTCCCTTAGAATTCTGACAAATTCATAAGCTTAACAATGAATCAATCAATCACTGGGTTTCTAGAACAGAGCAGTCAACCATGAAAACAGAGATAGTATTTACAGGAACTTGGGGTGTGATCTGAAGCAACGCTTAAGTCTGGGCCTTCAAGGTAGAGAAGCTAACTTCACTGCATCTAAAAATCTAAGATCTGAAGGGCTCTAGACCCATTCAGTCCAATCCCTAACTACCTATATGTTTAAACCTAGTTCTGCCATGATAATACAATGACAGTATGATAATACATGACTATCAAAAGTATCCCTCCCTCTACCCCCAGTCTCCCACCATGATCTACCTCTTCAATGTTTCCAGGGGCTCTTTCCTAGTAATGATTCCAGTGTCTGGGTCCACTGTTATCATGATACATCTGTAACAGAGCCAAGAAAGAGTTAGGCAAATGTGCACAATAACCAATTGGACAAAGCTTTAAGTACTAATTTTGGGTTAGAACTCTTACCTGGGGCAAGCCAAAACCTTGTTCATTTCCACACTTCCAATTAGGATTTCATCCCAGGTATCCTAGGAAAGATAAGTTTTCTTTTGAATAAAGGCATCATTAAGCTTTGGAATCAGTTCTTTATTAGTTGGCAGCAACTATAGCTGGACATAGAGAACTCCCCTCCTTCCTTTAAAAAAAAAAAAAGCTATTCATAAAGACTATGATCCTGAGAAGTTTTTGGAGGCAGTATAGTCTAACAGAGCTATGCGGAGGAACCAGATTTTTCTTGTTTAGTTATTTCAGTCTTGCCTAATTCTTTATGACCCCTTTTGGGGTTTTCTTGATAACAATACTGGAGCAGTTTGCCATTTCCTTCTCCGGCTCATTTTACAGATGAGAAAACTGAGGCAAACAGAATTAATTGACTCTCTCAGAGTTACACAGAAAATATCTGAAGCCAGATGTGAACTTGGGTCTTCCTGACTTCAGTCCCAGGCACTCTATCCACTGTGCCACTTAGCTGCCCAAGGCTACTATAGCTTTCTATTAACTGTGCCCAGGGAATAGACCAGTCACTGACTCTTTCCACAGTATTTTATTTCCTTCCGTCTCAGGAGTTCAGAATCAAGCCCTGGGATTAGGTTCAGGGTTCTAAGATGCACATTTTTAAAGGGAAGTTTTGGAGGTGCTCAAGCCTCAGGGTTATAATTAAATAACAATAGACCCTATGAGGTCATCCAATCAAACCCTTACCTGAACAAGAATCCCTTCTAAGACATACCTGAAGACTCCCAGTGAAGGGAAACCTGCCTCCAATAATAATGTGTATAAACATACAGATTTATGTTTGACATGTTCCTTACATCAAACATAAATTTGCATCTCTACAATGATTGTAGGAACATTTTGAATCAAATAAGCTTCCATTATTAGGTCTAGAAACTTAGCTATCACTTATAGCACTGTTTCTAGAGGGAAATTAACTTTGTAGGAAAGAAGCTGACTTATAAACAAAGTTTTGCAAACAAAATCCACTTTGAAGTTCGGGACCAGCTGAAAAACAAATATTTCCAAATCATTTTCTGATGTCCCACTTATTTCAAGCAAGTCAATACTGTGAAATATGATAACAAGACAATTTGGGCAAGCACCCAAGAGCAGATGTAATAGCATTTGTCTCATGATAACAGATGTAGGCCACATGTTAGGAAAGTTCAGGACATCAATTTGCTAAAACAGGCAGTATACATTTCACCACAGGAGGGCAATGCAGTCACTTACAAATATACCTACGGCTACCTTTCTAAAAGTTGGAACTCTTAGGTCACACGCAATGCCTTTCTGACAAGTAATGAAGATCTCAACAATTCAATTGGAAGCCACAAATCTATGTTAGTTCAAGATTCAGGTAGTGAATTCAAAGCCTCAGAGTCTAGAATTTCAATGAAAAGTTCCTCACAGCCATGATTTGGTGATAAGTAATCTTTTCTGCACGTGCTGTTCAGCCCTTGCAACACACGGCAGGCCAGCAAATTGCCTAAATTTCAAGACAGCTTCCTTTATAGCCTCAGATGCCAGGCTTGTAGGTTCCTCCTAAATAGAAGCATTATTTAACATTTGCAAACAAATTCATTGAAATAAGGGTGTATGTTTGGGAAAGGGTGAACTGGCTCCAGATTTTTCTGGGTGAAAGATAGAAAGAGAAAATGCCCTTTATAGTTTTCTTAAAATAAATAATCCTTAACATTTATATAAGGCATAGATTCCCAGAGTGGGTGATACTGCTCCCTGGGGGGAGCTGGAACGATGAGGGGGACCGTAGTAGCCTCTGGGGCAATTAGGGAGCATTGAATAAAAATAAGGGGGTGGTGGAAGCATAAGGAAAGAAGAAAAGAAAAATTTTGAAAAACAGTTTGTTCATGTTTCATCTGTTGTATAACAGAGTTAAAGTCTAATGACTACATTATTTTCCAAATAAACACACAAAATATAAGTTACAACCGATCAGCGGTCAAGTCTGCCTACAAGTCTTAACAAGCAAGTTTGTCAGGTGAGCGTGTCATGCGTACATTATTGGGAAGTCCAGCATGCATAGGCAGGAATAGGTGCATGTAATGACTTGTTTACAATATGATGCTATATAGTTACATGACACAATGTTGCACCATCAAAATTTCAATGCAGAAAAAAACCCACAAATATACAATAAATTATTAAATTTAAGATGTGTCTTTTTTTAAATTTTTTTTTTTTGGAAATGATGCAAAAAAAAAATCCAACAAACTGTTAAAGGGTTAAAGAAAGTAGATTTCGGGGGGGGGCTGAGTAATTTTTTTAAAGGGAGCAATAAGCCACATAAGTTCAGAAACCTCTGATATAAAATTTGCATGGCATTATAAATAAATTGTCTTATTTGAGCCTTACAATAACCCTGTGAGGTAAATGATATTATTATCCCCATTTTACAGTTGAGGAAACTGAGGCTGAGAGAATTTAAGTGGCTTGCCCAGGGGTTATACAGTCAGAGAGTGTTTGAGAAGAGATTCAAATCCAGATTTTTCTTACTCTAAATCCCACCGCTCAATCTGTTCACTACATTACTCTGTCACTCTAGTGGCTGCAATGTATTTCCCTCCCTTCATTGTAGAGATAGTCTATGAGTGTGAAACATTGACTGTTCTGCTAGACTCAGTAGATATGTTTGTTGGTTTTCTAAATTACTTTTTGTCCTTTTTTTTTAACTTTTGTTACAAGAACTGACTCTTTGGATGAATGGGAAGAGATAATTTGGAAATGAATATGAAGTAGAAACAAAAGGTATTAATAGGAAGTGATGCTGGAAAATATTAGTCTTGGAATCTTTTGAACTTGAATAAACTACAAATTATTTTAGGTTCTCCCTGTGTATGTGTGGGTATGTGGGTGTGATTGTGGGTGTGTGTGTTTTAAATAAAGCCAGGCTTTTAATATATAGTAGCCAGTTTGCAAAACAAAAAGAACAAAATGAAATGAAATGCAGGTCACCCAAAAGGCACTAGATATACACATGGTGGATCTAAATAATCTGCATCATGTTACCAAAGAAGGACTACCCACAAGAAACAGTCTAAAAGATATCATCAGAGAAGTGAATGACCAGCCGAGGAGGTGGAGAAGTCATGTAGGAAGACTGAAGGATGACCAGTGGACAGGCCATGGACACTAAGGATATCCAAAAAAATGTTTAAATATCTAGAGAAATTCCCACCAGCAAGTTGTGTGGATCCCCTGTAGTGTTTACAGAATCACATGGAAAAGTACACTGGAGGATAAAAGGAGGTTTCAGGCAAGAGGAAGTGACTGCGCTAAGCTGACTGGTGAGATTATTCATTCATCAATTAGTGGCAGCTTTGCTTAGTGGATAGAAAGCTGGCCTCTAGGTCATCTTTTGCCTTATTTCTTACCTAGCTTTAAATCACTGAATGGGTATTGCCTCAGACAAACTGAGACCTGGGAAAGAAAGAACTTACCTTAGAAAGGCCAAGATTGGCTCAGATTCTTAAAATCTATCCAAATGCTCAGATCCTTTAAGATTCTAGCCAACAGCTCACAGATGTTCAGATTCCTTAAGACTCTGGCCAATATGGTGGATCTTTAATAAACCTTGTCTTTGGCTGGAAAAAAAAATGCCAAGATCTCCCCCCTGCATCTGGGGCCATCTCCAGCTGTTCTGACCTACATCTTGCTACTGTGCTCAGATGACTCCAGATGAGGCTCACTGATGACTTTGCATTGCCCTGCCTCACTTAAGTCCAATTCACTTGCAAGTCAAGACATCACCCTCTTGATGTCACCAGTCTTCTTCCAGAATGAAGATCAAACAACAACAACAAGCCAAGAAGACTTGGGTTCAAATTTTGCCTCTGAAACTTACAGGTCATGAGACCTTGGGCTAGTCCTCTCCATGCTCTAGGTCAGGCCTATACAACATATAGCCCAAGGGCCACCTGCAACCCACCAAAGGATTCCAGACAGCCCACGAAAAAATGTAGAGGATGTAAAAGAAAGTGAAGATGTAACAAGTGTTTTGTCCATGTCCCACTTAACCTGCCTTTCACTAGTCAGTCATCATAGAACTTGGGGTGCCACTGGGCATTCGCTCCTCTTTGTCACATGACCCATGGCAGCCAACCATTGCCAACCCATCTCTAGTCTGAGAGAAGCTATTTCATGATAAATAAAAATCTTAAGTAATAAGTATAATTAACTAATATTAATTGAAATTTCCCTTTTTTAAAATATGGTTTATTTGCAAAATAGTTTAATCATTAATTATACCTTTACTTGGAAAGTGAACTGCTAAAAACCTATCTGCAGCCCAAAGAAGTTTAGCCTATTAATTTTGGCCCCTACCTACTGGCAAGTTGTGCAGGTCTGGTCTAGGTAATTCTTTAAGTCTGTGAGTTGCCAGTGGTATCAAGCTGCATTAGAAGTGGGAACTTCCTCATCCAGGAATTCCTTATATCTGTGAAGGCACAGGTCCAGTCCCTATAACTAGTCATCTCTGCACAAAATGAAAGCTGATCTATCTCCTAAAAGGGGAGGTCAAGAAGATGGAGGAATACCCCTCCACTCACCAGTTTATCAGGGAGAATGGAACCTTCCTTAAAACCAAACAAACTGGCAGAAGAGCAGCAGGGGAAAAAAGAGAAAGAAGGAAAAGGGGAAAGAGGATGAATGAATAAAAGAATATTTATTAAGTATTTACTATGTGCCAAGCACTGCGCTGAGCTCTTCTGGGTATACAAAATAAAAATTAAGACAGTCTCTGCCCTCAAAGAGCTCAGAGTCTAATGGGAGAAGACAACATATAAAAAGAAAAGGGTTCAAATCCCGCCTCAGACCAAACACTTGACACTTACTAGCTGTGTGATGCTGGGCAAGTCACTTAACCCTAATTGCCTTTAAATAAAAAAAGAAAAGAAAAGAAAAGGGAAAGTCTTGGGGAGGAAGGGGAGGCAGAGGAAAGTAACCTAGGCATGATAGAATCCTACAGTCCAGGTAGGACATAATATGAGGAAGGGAGGGTTTCAGAGTTGAC